GATTTAGTTAACCAGGAATGAAGTTGTTACTTAGTAACTAGCAGGAGAAAAGAGAACATCACTATACAAAGAAGGTGACAACCACCATTTCTAGGGTGAAGTACCAGAGGGAAAAGGTTTGAATGACAGAAACTTAGAAGCACCTTATGGAACTGTAAGTCACATATCCCAGGAGAGGTACAGACTGACTGGTGATGTTATCTGGTCAGGGAGGGGAGTGAGTCTGGTTTGCAAGGATTGAAAAACTGTAAACTACCAGGAAGGACTGCTTCTGCTGGGAGGCAGTGTTGGTAGGCTGACGTCACAGGAAGCACAAGTGGACAGGAAGTCTTTAGAAAGGAGCCAGTCCTCTCTCTGTCCTCCAACCCTGCATTCTCCCTTCATTCCCACTGTTGGCAGAACATAACTCAATGCCAGAACATAACTCAAGGCAGAAATGGGGTCTTCAGGGTCCCAGGGGCATATCATAGAGCCAAACACAGAGAAGAGCACTTGGAGTACAGAGACAGCGAGTTAGTAGCTGGCCCAACAATGATGCCTTGTTGCTCTTTCAAAAGCTCATCATGGAAAAAACGACATTTTCATTTTCCAGAAGTAAAATATGCCATTCAAATTTGTTCCAACAAAAAAATCTAGGAAAGGATGGCTTGCGAATCAATTTTTAAAGAGCCATTGGTTCAGTATTTCCAGTTTCAAGTTTTATATTTCTGATTTTCAGGAAAAAAAAAAGTATACTTAATAAGTCAATTTTGCCCCCAAATATACACTTTCTCAAAAACTTTTTATTTCATCAAAAATATCCTAAAATTTAAATATCACTCTTAGAATTCACTTTATGTGAAACAAATGACAACTATTTAAAATACAACTGTATCTCAACTGAGTTAGGTTTTCACGTAAGAGACTCTTAAAAAGTGGCTAAAATATAATAAACATTTATTTCTTTATGCACATAAAGCCCCAGGGAGTTACTTGTATGGTGGCTCAAACATTATCAGGTATTCAAGTCGATCCAGGGCTCTGCTCTGCCTTGTCGAGGTCACGTGAATACAATCTGGTCATATATGGCTGCTAGAGCTCCTGCCATCACATCCCTGTTCTAAGCATCAGTATGAACATAGGGAAGAGAAACAAGTTAGAGCCCCGCAGTCTAAGAGGAGCTCTTACAAGTCACACACAATACTTCACTAGCCACAACGGAGCCTCTGGAGTTGTGGCTGGGAATTGGTGTGCGCAGCTAAAAATTGGCGCCCTCTTAATCTGAGTGAGTTGGGCAGAATTCCCACTGGTAAGGAACTAGCTGTTTCTGCCAGGCTCTGGGAGGGATAGTACCTCATCAATCATAGACGTTGATGTGAACAAGTCTGTCAGCCCCTTTCTGAAAGTGAGATTTCATAGGTAAGGAAGACCAGATAGTATGTGAGGGCACTGGGGAGGGGAGAGCAGAGGCTGCGGAACAGGGTGGATGGAGGATATTAAGGACAAACCTCTATTTTCAATTTTGCTAAAAGTAAGCATTAGCCCCAGCCCCATGTTTCTTATTTATTTATTTGCCCATTTAAATAATTTGGATTCTATATAATTCATAAGGGAAGGGCTCATGTGTCACATATGTATTTTGTTCCTAAGGGCTACATTTTTAAAAAAGAGAGAGATTTAATCCCTTTGGTTGTGTTCTCTTCCCTCTTTTATAGAGGAGCACTTTCCAATGCCAAAATGGGTTTTGCCTTTCCAAGGTTGTTGTATTCATCCTTGTGAGTCCGTCTCTTCCTTCCCATGAACCCCAAAGGGCATGGGGAAATGGCATCATATTGATAAAACATGGCCTTCCAAAACAGTCCTTAAATCTCCTATGTGCAGATATGGTCAGGCTAATTGGAGTGAACATTTCTCCTGGACGCTTGGGATAAAACTAGCTGGCTCTGCAAAGTGGTTCTCTCTATAAGCTAGCAGCATTTATTTACAATATGTCTGGTGACAGGCCAATTTCTTAAGTAATGTAAGTATATGCATTTGGTACTTTCCAGTGTTTTTGCTTTTGGATCAAACTTATAGAGGAGAGCAGCTGACCAGGCCGTGCCTTGTCAGAATCACTGGCAACAACTTCATAAAGTTTTCAGTTTCTAAGAATTTCACTCGCTTCCAGCTCCCTCATCTTTAATAATTTGTTGCCTTTAACCACAAATAAAGCAACTTTTAGGAGGACATTGGAGGAAGAAGGAGATGATACAGAAAGAAAAGATGAAGATTTGGTTGGGAATTTTATGATGCTTATGCTTGCTTCAGAGAAATTATTTGCAGTGCACACACACACCTGCAAAAATAAAGATCCATTCCTCATCAAAGTGGTTGCAAACCGAACACCATCTGGCCCCTTCAGGCAGCCTTCACTTTCACCCATTATAGCACCCAGTTCCCTGTAATCCATCCCAGCCCTGGTTAGTAAGAAATTCCTCTGAAGGATGTTGATGAGATCAGGAAAAGGATGTGCATTGCCCACCTTGCAGGGGAAAGCTTCATCTAGATAAATAACTTACAGCAAAAGAAATGATCCCTGTCCCTTAAGGGAAAATCCTGTCTTCAGTAGCCCCAATCGGTCTCATGCTTTTTCCATCAAGAGGTTTCTCTTCTTCTATGCCTTATTCCCCTCCTCCCTTTTGCCTCTTCCTTCTCCTAAAGGCTGGTGTGGGGGCTTAGTTACCTTTCCATGGGGCATATGAATCATCCATTAAAATGGGGACAAAAATGAAAGGGAAGAAGCTCTGCCGGCAGAATGTTAGGCAGGATGAATAATGGAAAGCTGAGTATCGGAGCCAAAGAGAGCTGGAATGGATTCCCCGTTCTGTCATTTAGAAACTGACTGTCTTGGGCAAGTTATTCATCTTTTCTGAGTCACCGTTTCTTTGTTTATAAAATTGAAATAATAATACCTGCCTCATAATCATTTGAGAATTAAATTTTGTATGTAAAAATTAGCACAATATTTGATGCGTAGTTGCCATTCAATAAATATTAGTTCTCTTATTTATCCTAAGGGGAATGGAAGAGTTGTTGGGGCAAGTCATGGGGCTTATTCAGTGTTCTAATCTACTGGGAACTCATGCGTGTATGTGTGTGTGTGTGTGTGTGTGTGTGTGTGTGTGTGTGTGAGAGAGAGAGAGAGAGAGAGAGAGAGAGAGAGAGAGAGAGGCATCAATTTATTATTGCACTTATTTATGCATTCCTTGGTTGATTCTTGTATGTACCCTGACTAGGAGGGATTGAACCTGCAACCTTGCCTTATCGGGACAATGATTTAACCAACCCAGCTACCAGCCAGCGCCTTCTTAATTACATTTGGTGTCTGAAAATTTCTGGTATCAAGGAAAATGGGAAACTAAAAGAGGAGATCCTCGGTGAACAAGAAATCAAAAAGCAATAAAGCAGAGTGGTTTGGGGTATTATTTCACCCATTTGCCGATAAAACAATTTTTACCAGATTCCTTGTGTTCTCCAGATTCACGTTCTCCTTTGGATGGTGCTGATCCAGTGATACATTTTGTTTCTCTAAGCTTCACTTTCTGTGCTGACCACTCTGGGGCCAACACATTCTTTTGTCACATGTGTTAATATCACTGTCTTACGATCTGTCAAAATGAAAAATAGCTGCCTTTTCTGTGCCAGACCTAATTTGATAGTCTTAACTGCAAAGATTCAGACCTTTCTTGGCACCAAAACACAGGAACTGGGCACAGATCTCACAGCTCTTTTGGTCCTTTCTCGAGCACAAAGCCCAAACAGAATTCTGACATTGCTAGCACTGCCGTCCTCGCTCTGCCTGAACTCATGTCTGCCGTGGTCAGTGTTTGTGATTGGGAACGGATGCTACAAAGCTTTAATTCAGGTCCACATCATCCTTCAGGAAGTGAAGATGGTCCTTAGACTTCTGGAGAATAGTATTTCTTGGGGCTAGATTGTAGATCCTGGGTAATATTGTCTCATGCTTTTCCCCAAGGTAACAACTCCTGGGCTCTGCCCATAATGAGATCTTATCAGCCCTGTCTTCTGCTTTGCTGGGGGAAAACCCTTAGCCATGTTTTTATAAAAAAATATTCAGAAGATAGATGATAGATAGATAGATAAATAGATAGATAGATATAAAATAGGGTAGTGAGCATAATGGCTATAAAAAGGCAATCACACAGCCTGAGCTTCTTCACCCCAGGGAAGTCTGTCCATATCCCACCAGGAAGAGGACAGGCCTGAGTTTGCGTTCTTGGTTTGACAGTCATGGCCACAATTTATTAATACTCCATTCCCATAACAAAAAAAGGTGGATACCTGGTAGATTATAAGACATTTACACTCCCTCTGAAAGTTTTCATAATATTTCATAATATTCTCATGGCATTCACTGTTGCATTACTTTTTCTGTAGGAGTTTTTAACCTCAGACCCTCAGACACTCCAGAAGTCTGGCACTCTACTCTATCTCAAATAAAATATATCTAGCAAGTAAAAATATTTGATAAATGATTTCCATAAATTAGTTTTACTTGTCATCGTAAGAATATTAATTTTCGTTTTTAAAATCATTATTCTAAAAAGAGGTCTGTAGACTTCAAAGGCCTGTCAAAGGCATCCTGGCACGGCAACGTCCGGACTCCCTCGGGCAGTGGGGGGAGGTCCTCTCACGTGACCTGCGGTTTCATTATCTAATGTTCACAGTTCTTGTGTGCACTCTCACAACCTCACCGCGGTGCCTCTGATGGTTTGTGTCAGGTGTGTCTATGATGTGCAGTAAATGTCGATTTTTCTGTGGGCAGAATACTAGTTTCAATACAGTGACAGTGCAATTCAGAATGGACATTTTCTTGTACACTGAAAAAATCCTATGTGCTAGTTACTGTACTAGCCAGAGATACTAAGTAAAACAAAAACATTCTGCTCTTTATGAGGGTGTGTGTGTGTGTGTGTGTGTGTGTGTGTGTGTGTGTAGTAATTCTGGATTTGTTTCTCTCACAGGTCTCTGAGGCCCGGGGAGTTCAATGGGGAGGTTGCAGTGCTCCGGATTGCTGCTCCTCAATGAAGCTCTGAGTCCTGGCCTGAGGGGCTAAGGTGCTGGCTACAATGTGGAACCCCAGGACAACCGACCTGACTCACCTTTGCTCTGAGAAGAAGTCCCACATGAAACTGGGCTGAAATCAGAGCAAGGACTAGAGAAAGATTTTTTTGTGTGTGTGTGTGTGTTCATGGAAAGAGGAAAGGAGAAAAGGGTTTCCAAAAACCTGCAACAAACTTTCCACCGCTCTAAAGAACCTACCTTCCTTATCAACCAAGCTGTTCCGTCTAGGGACTCCTCTTCTAGCCTTTTGCCAGAAACAGGGCAAGTCCATCCTGGGGAAGAAATAAAGACAAACCCTCAGAGAACTAGGCCTGGGACTGTGATCCTCTCAAAACGCCCTGGTAAGAGAAGCATGTCAGAAAGCCAGCCTACCCGACCCGTGATCCCGTCCCGCAGGCCCGGATTCCGGATATGCTACATCTGCGGCCGAGAATTTGGGTCCCAGTCCCTCGCCATTCATGAGCCCCAGTGCCTGGAGAAGTGGCGGATTGAAAACAGCAAGCTGCCCAAGCACCAGCGGAGGCCAGAACCCTCCAAGCCACAGCCCCTGGCCGGCGGCAATGGGTCCTACACGCTCGAGGCGCTGAACGAGGCAGCGTTCCAGAGCTCGCAGGCCCAGCTGCTGCCCTGCGAAATCTGTGGCCGCACATTCTTGCCGGACCGCCTTATTGTCCACCAGAGAAGCTGCAAGCCCAAGGGTGGTGGGCCCAGAGAGCCGAAGAGCAACAACTCCAGTGACCTTCCTGGTCTTAAGAAAGCTGCTGGTGGCGTCCCACCTCGACCAAGGACTCTCGTCTGCTACATTTGTGGCAGGGAATTTGGCTCCCTCTCCCTTCCTATTCATGAGCCCAAATGCCTGGAAAAGTGGAAAATAGAAAATAGCCAGCTCCCCAGGGAGCTCCGCCGGCCATCCCCACAGAAGCCTCAGCCCTTGGTGCCTGGCGAGGGGCCAAGTCAAGCTCAGCTTGAGCCCTGCCCGCACTGCGGCCGGACCTTTGCTCCCCAGCGCCTTCCGGTGCATCTGAGAAGCTGTAAGCCTCAATCCAGTGGGCCACGCGCTCAGAATTTGACTTTAGGAAGCAAAGGCGGCCTGAAAGAGCCCGCTAATTCCAAGCAGCAAAGGCACGTGGCAGCACCCACTGAGACTGAAAAGGTAACGCAGGCCACTTGAGATGCCCTGGGTGGATTCCGGGGTGCATGCTGCCTCCAGGGGAGGGAGAGAAAACAGACCCCGAATCACCTGCCTCAGCCCCTAGAGTGGTTTCTTTCCATGCCTATTTCTGATTCATTGCAGCCTGTCCAATTTGACCCCTGTCCCACTCCAGGGGCTGTATCTCTGATGGCAACGTAGATACAAGAACATCCTTGCCTGGTGGATTCACAGTTCTCTTCCATTTTGTTGAGAGAGTGAGAGTGAGAAGGAGGGGGAGAGGGAGAGAGGGAGAGGGAGAGAGAGGACTTCTTTCTTCCCTGACCCCTCCTTACCAATAATCCTTGGGAGAGACTGTTATTTGAAAATGAGTCATTAATGCTATGTCTACATTACAGAGCTATAATCCCCGTTCCAAAAGCCAATATTTATTACCAGTTTATTTTAGTCATCTACCTTAGGAATTCGTTTCTGGCAACGCCGAGTTCTGCCGAGTTTATCTTACTAAAATAGAATCTGTGTCAAAAACCCCAAATGACCCCAGCAATAATTAAACACTGGCGCACTTGCAGGAATAGACGTGCTCTCCGAGTGCGGCATGTTTTCTATTAACGCTGACATGATGGTAGTATGTGGGAGATTAACCCAGTGTAGACACCCAAGAAGGGAGGCATGTGTTCCTGGTTCTGGGAAGTGCAGATTCCCGCTGCTGCTCTGTACCTTGTATCTGGGTTGGACTCCATGCTCTGACTCTCCACATGGGCAATTGTTAAAAGTAAGCATGACCCAGGGGTTCCCAGTCATAGGGGAAAGTGTTGTTGGGTTTTCACCTGAAGTTTCTTCATCCACCAGGATTGAGGAAGGATGCTGTTGAGGGTGGCTACCTGCAGAACAGGCCACGGTCCATGGACTCGGTCCTACCCTTAAGCCAAGCGGATGGATGTGCTGTCTGTGTCACAGCTTACTGATGTCTAATCATGAGAAATAGGATGTGGTCAGTCTTTTCTCTCTTTCCCCCCCCACCCGCCCCACCTCCTCCTCTTCCTCTTCTTCCTTTGTTTCCTCCTTCTTCAATTTGCTACTTGAAACACCCACCTGCATGGTTCTTTAAATGGAATGATTTGAAAAAATAAAAATGAAAAAAAATAAATGGACTGTTTTGGGAAAACTAAGGTTACTCAAGGCATTGCAAAGTATTAAACCAAAAGGGGGTGGGGGACCTTTTGAGTTTAATTCAGTGTTTCTTCCTTACTCTTTCGTTGCATCATTTTGGCAAATAATCTAGTACTTTTTTCTAGCTTCCATGTTTAAAAAATGACATTATATGGACTTGCCGGTTTAGAAAATTTCAAGATAATGATCCTAAAGCTGAAGAATCACACTGACAGAAGCTGGCTGAGTGTGCCGATGGACTTTGAAGAAAGAATGGCTGCTTTCTTTGCCGCATGAAAACCCAAACTCTTAAGTGTGGCAAGGACTGCAGGCTGGTCTCACAAACATGATCTGCTTTTCCCATCTTCTGGCTGTTGTTTTTCTTTCAAAACATGTGAGGTCTGGACTCCAAGAGCAAAAGGATTGTGTGTCTCGGGGTCACAATCAAGCAACTCTGTTTCTGTGTGACTTTCAGCCCCGTGTCCTGATTGTATGCATTTACTTCAAATGTCCTCATTACAGATCTTGAGATAGGGAAGAGTGTGGTCAGGATTCTTGGGCTTATTGTTATAACACATACTTTGTGCTCCCAAGAGTGGAGCCAACAGGCTGAGCACAGCATGTTCTAACTCAGTCACGACTGCTAAGAGAGGCTGGCCCGGGCCCACGGCTTCACCAGAGGACACCTCCTGCCTCCCGCAGTCGTCCGGAGGGGAGGATGTCAGAGGGAGAGGCCAGCAGGGGCCCCCGATGACTCGTGCGCTGAGCAGGGGGGGAGTTCATCAGAGCAAGGGCATCGAGAGGGCATGGCTGTGTGAGAGCACAGCCAGCTCTGCTCCCAGACGTGAGAAGGCATGTGTCAGTGAGAACCTGGCGCCCACAGCTGTCAGATGTGTGCTGGCCTGTTTGGGGACCATGCAGGCTTTAGTGGGGGGTCATGGAAAGGTCACCTAACATAGGGTCCCTTTAGTTGCCAGATTTAAAGCAAGCTTGGTTTAATGACAACAGAGAAATCTCCTAAGGCTTCAGAGGGGCATACTGATCTGGAAGTAATGGACTTGATTCCTTCGCTGAGAAAGGTGTTTGCTGTGCAGTGGTACTTTCAGCAGCAAGGCCCTCCTGGGAACTGTAGTTTGCTCTTTTGTGTACAATTTGATCCTCTCTGTTGCTGTGTTTCCTTTATCATTTAACATTTAGATAGTGCAGTGAACCATACATTTTCCATAAAGAGCATTACCCTATGCATTATTAGATTTCAGATTTTCATCTGCCTGCGATGGTTGACTTTTGGCTGACTATGGTATACATGCATTCTTTTTTTTTTTTTTTTTCAAATATATTTTATTGATTTCAGAAAGGAAGAGAGAGGGAGAGACAGAAATATTAATGATGAGAGAGAGAATCATTGTTCGGCTGCCTCCTACATGCTGCTCACCGGGATCAAACCCACAACCTAGGCATGTGCCCTGACCTGGAATCAAACCGTGACCACCTGTTTCATAGGCTGATGCTCAATCACACTGACATGGCCACATGCTTTTTTTTTTTTTTTTTTTTTTTTTTAGATTTCAAACGCTTCCTTCATTTCTTCTCTTGTCAATTATAACAATTTCCCTCTAGAATCCTTGATCTGACTTCTGATTAGAATCAATGATCTTGCCGAATGTTCTCAGGGGGCTCAGTCTTGCAGTGAATTCAAGTGAGAAAAATCTTTTCAGAACTACGATCACAGTGCTTGGAAAACAATTCACTCCAGTTGGGCAACATGACTGTTTCGCTGGCAGAGTGAATTACCTTCTGCTCAGAATGTTCTTCCAACATAGATTGGCTCAGTTCTCTTAGGACACAGATACTTCTGTCACCTTTCAATCATTTCTAAACATAAACTAACGCCACTAAGGCAAGTTCTCTTCCAAAACCTCAATGGGCACTTTGCAATTCGTTCTGTTTATTGGTTAGATAATGCTTTCGGTTATTTTCTTAGGATTATGCTGGTCACATGTGAAATCCCTTTTCTAAAAATCCTTTATTACATTACAAATTAGGCATTATTTTTCTGTAGGGAAACTATCTTCTCTATAAATGATCATCTCTTTCAATGTAGTTTTATGCTCAGGTTTGAGCTAAAAGTCCCTCTGATACTTCTTTAGCGTCTGGTGCTGCCATCTGGTGTTTTCTTTTAAAGTAATGTCTTCTACACTATCAAAAAAATTTTTTTTCTCTTTGTGTTACCTCCAAATATATTTGAGAAGGTACCCTTATAACACAAACTCTAGATATTTAGGGCGGTGGTTACATATTTGGTTTAATGTTATAAATTGTGTTTCTTGGCTAAGTGTCTCATTCTCTAAAGGCAAAAATCTTAATAGGAAGGTCATCATCAGAAAGACTTGGAAGGGTAGGATGGATGGTGTCTCATGAAAAGTTTTGTGTATGCACATGTATTATTAGGTCAGAAGTTTTTGTTTATTGGGAGGCATGGAAAAAAGGGAACTTTTTTTGAGTACTTTCTTGATCAGCACTTTATATACATGTTCTCACTTTAATCTTCATACTATTACTAAAAGATGTATTATTTTCCCCACTTACCAGGTGAAGCAACTAAGGGTAAAGCAACTTGACCAAAGTCACTCAGTGGGTATGGTAGAAGGTGTCAGAGCCAGATTCAAAGGCTCATTACCTTTGCATGCCACTAAAAGAGAGGATTATGTGTGATACAAAAAGGGTATGGTTATCTTGCCAGGCTGTGAGTGTTAAGTATGACAAAGAGGACAGAAGTTTGTCTATTCAACAAATATTTACTCTTCGACATTGGCTAAGTACTAAATATAGAGTCATAAAAAAGATAGACACAGTTCTTGATCTCATGGAGATTTGTGGAGGAAATATGAAATAAATATGAAATTTGTGTGATATGACAGTGTTTCTTGGTAGGAGTGGATATTCTTGGGTCAAGAAACCTCTGGGAGGAAGTGACATTTCAGCTGTGATACAAAAGGTATGAACGCATTAGCCAAGACATTCTGGCCAGAGGAAACATGTGAAGACCTTGAGGTAAGAAAGATCTTTAAATGGAACTAGGACATCCACAGGTGGCCAGAGCCTAATGGAACAGGAGACAGGCACACAAGATGAAGCTGTAGAAACAACATGGTTCTCTCCAGGTGCTGTGTGGACATCATGGCATTGGTTTGGCTACTGCAGAAGTCCAGGTAAAAGCTGATGATGCTGCCGAAACCGGTTTGGCTCAGCGGTAGAGCATCGGTCTGCGGACTGAAAGGTCCCAGGTTTGATTCCGGTCAAGGGCATGTACTTTGGTTGCGGTCACATCCCCAGTAGGGGGTGTGCAAGAGGCAGCTGGTTGGTGTTTCTCTCTCATCGACGTTTCTAGCTCTCTATCTCTCTCCCTTCCTCTCTGTAAAAAATCAATAAAATACATTAAAAAAAAAAAGCTGATGATGCTTGGCCTAGGGTATTGGTAGCAGAGATGGAGATCAGGTATCATGAGAATGTGATGGTTAGGACATGGTGATAAGTTAGGACGTGGAAGGGTAAGGAAGGGGGTCAAGGATGACTCCCACATGTCTAGTTTGAGCAACTGTACTAGTTGTGCCATTTTCTAAGGTGAGAAAGACTTGAGGAAGGGTAACTCTTGAGGGTTAAAACTAATAGTTCTATTCTGGGCATATCACATTCAAAATGCTTATGAGATATCTAAGTGGGTAAGACAAGGTAGATATATGTCTGAATCTCAAAAGAAAAGACTAGGCTGGGGTATAGATTTGTATAATGTAACATATATTTAAAGTCATCAGAATGAGGATAGTGTTATGAAAATAGACCCAGGGCTG